GGGGTGTGGGTGTGGGTGGGGTATGGGTGTGGGGTGTGGGTGGGTGTGGGTGTGAGGTGTGGATGTGGGTGGAGTGGGTGTGGGTGTGGGTGTGGGTGGGTGTGGATGTGGGTGTGGGTGGGTGTAAGTGTAGGTGTATATTTTCCTTTAACCCACACGCATACCCCACATCCACGCCCACATACACCCGCACCCACACCCACAACCATTGACTTTATTATATATCAGTAAATAATGTCTCCATCTTATATTAGAATTTGAATGGTATTACATGTGATATGATGAATTCTGGAATATAATTTTATGTGTTGGTGATGATAATCTTGCTAATGATGCAATACGTTTTTTACTTGATTTATATTATACAAAACAACCAGATCGTACACGTCGTCCAACAGTTCAATCACTTCATGAATGTTTTTTCGTTTTTTTTTAGAAAAAGAAGTATATACATGTTTAAATTCATTACTTATATCTGATATACCACCATCAACATCATTAACATTAACAATTGAACAATATTATCAATCATTAAAAACTTATGGTTAACAATGGATAGCATCAGATAATACAACTATTTCAAATAATTTATCAATAAATATTGATCATCAATTATGGTTACAAAGAAGTGAACGTTTATTTATGATAACAGAAGAATATATATTGATATTGTTGAACATGAACATTTATCAACAGCTCATATAACATCATTTGATAGTTTAGAATATCAAATAAAAATCATTCTTGGTGAACTAGGTAAAACAAATTGTACATATATAGTTATTATTCATTCAAATGATATACTTGAAATGTTACGTACACGTCTTGGACTTTATTATAAGTTCCAGCACATGATATACATATATCAATCCAAAATACACGTCCATTACCTCAATCTTATGATCATTTAGGTCCTATTAATAATACTATTACATTATCATCAAATAATTCTTTTTGTTCATCATCATCATCATCAACAACAAATAATAATACTAATACTGTTCTTGGTTTATAGTAAAGTTCAAAATATTTATATCAAGTTCATATAGTAGCAAAAAAAAATTAAATTACCATTATCAAATAATATTAGTATAAAACAAAGTTCAAAATTATTTCGACAAGATTTTATTGAACATGAAGGTGTAGAATTTTTATTTAAATTATTACAATCATTAAATTATTTTATACACGATGATTATGAATACTCATTATGTCAAGAAATAACAATATTAATATTACAATTAATACAATTAGTATTATGTGAAAATAATCAACAAGAGAAAATTATATTATCAAGACCAAATTCACCAATAACTACAACAGCTAATGATAATGCACTTGATACAATTGATTTTGATTTTTAAGCAACTGTTTAACATTTATAACTGCTCCTGGAAATATACGTTTACAAGAACAAGTTTTAAATACAAAAAACAAGTGAAATCAGGTCGTCATGTTCTATTACAACAAATTAATGCACATTTGCTTTTTGTCGAAATAGTAGTAAAAGAATTCAACATCAAGTGATTCATCAAATAACAATAATAATACTAATAATAATGCTACTTTTCTTACTCAACCATTTTTTGCTGATATTCTGTTGAGAAAAATTTTTAATTAGTACAAGTTCTTGTGAAGTTGTTCAATGTACATCATGTAATATTATATGTTATGTAAGATTGAAGCATCAGGATGTGGTATAAGAGCTGTTATTCATCAAATATTATTAAAAGCTCGATCAACATTATGGCCACCAAGTGCAACAACTCGTAGTTCAAATCAAAAAATGATTATCACAATCAATTGAATATTAGATTTACGTTGTTAATTGACGGAAAACTTTAACAAAATAAATGCAAACAATACTTAATATAAATGCAAAACAACAAGTTTTATCTAATGAATTTAATTGGTTATCATCATATATATTATTAACAACATCAAATGAATTACGTACAACTGATAATATTTTATTTATGGGTCATTTAAGATTTATTCGTACATTATTAACATATGAAAATTGAATTTAGTATTGATGTTATATGTTTAATATTGATCAATTTTTATTTCCTGCATCAAAACCTATGTCATCACCAACTATATCAACAAATAATGGAAATGATTCATCAGATGATGTTGTACCTGAACCAAAATGTTCAACAAGTAAAAGTCGTTTAGCTGCAAATGATGTACTTGTAAAATTAGTTCAAAATTGTCGTACAAAATTAAAAAAATTGTTGTTGATGATCTTATTATTATTCATCATAGACCTTTACTTGAAAAACAAACTGAATGGGAGTTTGTGCCACAAGTTAATCCTCGTGCACCTTGCTTTTAGTTAGACTTTATAATGGTGGTGCAACATGTTATATGAATTCAATTCTTCAACAATTGTCTATGTTACCACAAATATCTGAACATATATTAAGTGTTCCTGATGATCTTGATAGTGCTAATAGAACAACTAAAACAAGTGATTCAAAATTTATTTTATCAACCTCAACAAGTATTTGGTCATTTAATGGAAAGTAAAATGAAATATTCATACTGAAACTATACAATAATGAATAGTATCTCTACCACATATTAGAATTTAAATGTTATTATACTTGGTATTATTATTGGACTCTCATATTCAACTTAAATATATCATCAAGTTTATTATATATATATTTAAATCATGTCCTTATCGAGTACTGGAATTTCATGTTATTGCATTTAATCTGACTGTTTAAGATAACCTTACATTTAATCTAATGATTAATTATAATTATAACACAACTCATATGTTTCCATTTCAACTCTTCTCTGAATGGGTACACTAATAATGTAGAAAAACTTGTTCGTCGCATATTTATGTTGCTTTTGTTCTTGTTTTCTACAAAAATTTAATTTTTCATTTTGTTCCTGAGGATGTGACCAGACGGGCCATGAAAGCTTGAATGTAAATATTTTTCTGATGAAAAATTAACAAAAATAAATATGATTTTCACAGCAGTTATCTCGTTTCTTTTTTATTATTCAAATATTTCATAAATTATTTCATTTGCTAAATCTTTAAAAAAAAATATCGAAATAAAATAAATGATAATTATTAGATTCTACACAAATAACTTGTTTCCGTTGATTGTGAACACTAAAAAAAAGAAAATAAGATTTATTAAACCAAATCATAAAATCTAACTTTCTTCTTGTAAATTTCGTTTTTTATTTTCATTATAATGTTGAAATATATCATCTAGTTGTTGTTTTGTTCATTCCATATTTAAAATAATAAATGAAAATGTTAACAATGATCGAGAAAAAGAAAGGACTACAT